AGATTCTTTATACTGCCATTCAGAACATGCAAGCAACCGCAGCCCCCGTATATATAGCGCAGTTGTAGCATCACCGAGATGAGATTGTCGCGGGTTCGAGCCATGGGGCCATACTTTAAAAATTCGCTAAGTGAACGTAAGTACTTACGCTCTATTTTCTTGTCTATGATTGGTGGATTTTGCGTGAGAGGCCGTCAATGATTGGCTGATGAACTTACGATCTCTTAACTTTTTTTAAAGTAAAGGCCCTGGGGCAATACTTTCAAAACTCGCTAAGTGAACGTAAGTACTTACGCTCTATTTTCTTGTCTATGATTTTTGGATTTTGCTTGAGAGGCCGTCAATGATTAGCAGATGAACTTACGATCCCTAAACTTTTTTGAAAGTATATATGGGCCCTGGCCTGAGATGTTCAGTTAATTTTTCGCTGACGCTAGTGGGCGGTGCTTGGTGGCCTTCAATGGTGGTGCCTCAGCACTACTCGATACCTTGGGTCGGTGTCTCTAATCGAACTCTGAGTACCTGTTAACAGAGTATGTACAGGTATTCATTTACGAAACCAGTTCAAAGTCAATAGTTCACGATGTAATATGTGTATATAACAGCTATGTTAGCCTCAGTTTGATGGTAAGAAAAAAGTATTTGTATTTACCATGTTCATAATATGCATATATGAATATATAAAAAGGTTTAACGGGGAGAGAATCGGAAAGAAAATTCCGTTTAAATAGTTTACCTGAATGAGATAGAATGAATATTTTACTTCACATGATAACTAAAGAATTTAACATCATTTTTAAAATAAAGGTTGATGTCTTGAATACTAAAAGACCGTTAAATATGCTCTATGAAAGAAATAGCTGACATGAGATGGAACCCGTGGTTGGATACATGAGATCTTCCTTTCTAAGAAAACAGTATTTATCAGTTTCTAGATAGTGAATGAATTATACTGGCTGGAATTTCAGCCTCATATTATGTTTGTTTGTTTAATTGGTTAAACACGTTTAAATGTTGACTTTGCTCGCTTCGACATAACGTTCACTCAAAGCGAGGTCTTTTTCTCAGGATCAATTTCAAAATTCAAATTTTTTTATTTCTATGTCAAATAGGAAATTTTGTTATTTATAAGACATTTTTATTTCAGTTAAATAGTTTAAATATAATTTTTTCGCGTATTGTTGCAACTTATAAGCTATAGATAATTAATTCTACTTCAATATATAACAGTAGCGTTGAAGAAGTACAAAGTTTTGATCTCAATAAATGGTAATTTAGACAGCTGCCTCCATGAGGCGTGAGAGGCCCAAATCCCTGAGGCACGAGAGGCACGAATTCCTGAGGCACNAAGCACGTGTCTAGCAACACAATGAGTTCGAAACGCTTCGAAAATGGCTTTACGGAGCCCAAGAAGAATGAGGATAGAGAGCGGTGATGGCTGTTCTGGCTGATGTAGATAGATGTGCGCATTATCTTCGTGGATAAGCTGACTCAAGGCGGAGATAACTTGCTCAAATGCAGCTGGGTGAAGGAGTTTTGGGGTAAACGCATGGTTGAACTAGTACATACTGTGTATAGTTCAACCATGGGGCAAACGTATCAGAAGGTGCGACTTGAAACTCGTCAGAGAAATTTATTTTTACCAAATTTAAACGCTCTATATTTATAATTTAGTTTAAATGTTATGATCCTTCCGCTTGAAGTTCATCGCTAATAGCTTCGGGTGCACGGGCAAACAAAGTTTATTCAAAAATTTTGAGAATCTTTGTAAAAAGATATCGACGAACCTCACAGGATTATCGTTCGCTAAATTCCTCAAAACGTTCGTGGTTTCTGACATCTGAAATTTTGAATTTGATTGGGTTATTTCAAATATATTCTTCTATGAACATTCATAGTGATTTTTAATGGGGAGGAGATGGAAGCTTTCTGATTGATTGATTTACTCGGACCTCTGCCAATCGCCATCGTTCCGTGACTATATGCCCGAGTCTAGTAAAGAAGCAAGAAAATTCCATTGATGCATTTGTTTCTATTTCATTAATTCTGTTTGTGATGATAGATAATTTTTCCAAAGATTTTTTACGACTCTGGAAGCCACATTCTCCATTTTTGTACGACTTTTTTCTTCCATTTTACCTCTATTACCCCCTTTCCCTTGTAGTTGTTACTATATATAATGCAAACAAAGTTTAAATCGGAAAAAATGACTTCTAGAGCCGCTGGATATTCTTTTTATAAATCAAATGAAATGGTCTTAAATTTTGTACCTTGAAAATTGAAGGATGAGTGGGGTAGATTTTGAATGAACCGAAAAATTCTAATTTCAATAGTTAAAGCGAGCCAAACAAGTAAAATGCAATAGCTAAAATATTTGCTTACTAATGTTTCCCCAGCTTTTCGGTCGCCTATTTCCCCAGTTATTCTGTAAAAAAAATAAATAAAAACTTAAAAAACTGCGCTGCAACTTCTCCACGCGACAAAATATCTTCTCGCTTGGAATCACCGACATGTGGAACAGTCTCCCCAATGACATCGTTGACGCTCCAAGTATGAACGCGTTCAAGAACAGACTAGATAAAGCTATGGAAAAATATGTGTTAAGACTTGAAATGCCTAGCACCATATCGAACCCGGTGGAAGTCTAGTAGCTATTTCAAACTATCGTCAGTTTGGAGAAGATCCGGTCGAAGAACCTGTTTTACATCTAGCTGTGGACAAGTCACGAAAAGTACAAGAATCGGTGACAGGTCACATCACTGACATCAGGCCTAATCTTCAGCGCCGACATCGCTATGTTATGTTATGTTATAAACATTAAAGGTACTCTCATGCGCTGCATGAATTATTCTTATACAGTTTAACGCGAATAATATACTATAAGAATTTAAAAGAGCATAGTAAAAAAATTTTCCTTCGACAAACGACGAAAGCTGCGTGGAACATGCGACGAATAGAATGAGTTTAAAAAATATAAATAAAATAAATATCTAGATTTTAGACATAAACCTCTTCCCTCTTAATTAAGCTTTTAAATTAATAGTATTCTATGCCCTCTGATGCGGACGCCGATGGAAAGGAATTTGGAGCTGTATCAGTATTTGCTGATTCTTTGTAGGGACCATGCACCGATATTCGTTATTTACTTTCTCATTCATTTTTCCTCAAATAGTTCGCAATCGGCCAACCATCCGAACTTCTTATAGATTGACTTTTTCTTTCTTCGTTAGTTCAGTTACGTGAGTTACCGGTCATTCGTCTTCAACCTTGCTCGCCACAAGTTTGGGTGCAAGATTTGCCTTACTCATAAATACCCTGTTCATAACATCCGCTGGTCAATATCTGATTGATTTCCCTCATGGTTGAACAAGTATATAGTTCAATCATGGATATCCCTGTTCGCAATTCCCTTAGCTTATAGCGCCATAGCGGTATATATTCATTTCAGCTTTTACTTCCAGCATGAGCATGCATCCTGAAGTCGCTACCCACGTTCATTTAACATCGTAGATTGATGAAATAATTAAGTTTCCAGATTCTAAACTTCTAGTAAATTTTCATTCTAACAGTGTGGAACGGATTTGATATTTCATTACTAAAAATCCAGAATTTAGCACTGAGCTAAAACTTCGGCACTAGCACAGCTGACAGCTGACCGGTGTCCGGTGTTGGTAAACAAAGCCATTTTCGGAATTTTCCCTTTACCACGTTTTACTGATTTGCAGATTTTCAGTTGTTACATGACTATTAGTCTATTACTAATTTACTAGTATTAGGCACAAACTAAACCCTGCTTAGGCAAGCGGTTGCAGGGACCAGTGCTCCAATAAGAAGAAATAAAAAAGTATTTTTTCTGATCACGCGGTTTCGATCACCATTCTGCATTCACTGTTAAGGAACTCAGGATTGCATTTGCATGCTGGCTGCGTGATCTTCAACAAAACGTTTAGTTGATTTGTTTACACTTTACATTACGATGTTTGTTTTTTCTGCAGGATATTTTGGTGGAAACGGTAGAGCAATGCAGATTGTGCAAGTTCAAAATAGTAAGAAATGACATGGTTGCAAAGTGCAAACCGCGATTTTTCAATCAAACAAAAATTTATGACATTCAAGCCGCGAGATTTCATGCCTACTGAAATTATTTGATATTAGAGCCGCGATATTTCAGACAAAAATAGGACTTTTCCAGCCCTGCAGTGAGTGAGTGAGGCTGCTGCTAGGGCTAGCCGGCTAGGCCGACTATTACTTTTGCTACACATTGGGATTGATTCTACAGCCTTTTTTAAATCTAACATTATGATCAGATTTTTTAAGCCAAACATTTGATGTCAATGAAAGTTATGCGGCTTATGCCATCAAACTTTTTATTTGACATGAATATAATATGCACATACTTAAACCGTTTGACTTTATCTAGGCCTATCTTGAAATTATGCAGCATGCTTAGGTTTAAATATTGATGCATGACCTTCCTTATATTACTGGCTTTCTGTTGCATTGTATTTTGTAATGTGGCATGTCCATGTCCATGTGTCATGATGTGTGCATGATCCATCCATCTAGGGACCAGGAATCCAGGATCATTCTCAGCTAGTATGGAATATATCTACTTGGCGAGCCGCGACTGAATTTTTCGAGCCGTGGTTTTATGGATTTGCCAGCCGTGATTCCATTTCTACGAGCCGTGATTCTATATCATTACTCAGCGTAAATGGCTTTTCATTAAAAATTACCTGGCGATGCATCTTTAAAATGGCCGGCAACGCTTTGGGCTTAAAAATCCATATATTGGCGACGCTGCATCCACCCTCTGCATAGTGGGCTGTTGCATTGTAATGGGGCATGTCCACAGTCCATGTGTGCATGATCCATCCATCTAGGGACCAGGAACAGGAATCCAGGATCATTCTCATTTCTCAGGAATTGGTTTTTAGTTTTATTTATATATGTAAATTATATATTTTCTTGTAATACTAATAGCCTAGTTCCTTCTGCAGTTGACAGTTCTGCTTATAGAATTTCATCAATTCATGGATTGCTCTGATTTCACCAAGTTGTTGAAAGTTCAAGCAGCAGGTTTTGCCTGAAAATTGCAATGAACCTTCAAGCCATGTTTCGTGATTTCAATCCCGGGTAAGTAAATTACTAGATTGAGGTAATGAGGTTCAAGATTGCTACTTTGAACTTGGTAAGATATATACAGTATATACCGTATATATATATATTGAATTAAAGTTAGCTTAGATTTTAACTTTCCTACTTTGAAATTTTGTGGCTCTAAGCCTCGAATGACTAATATGAAAGTTTGTCATAGATATCAAATTGTACTGAACAAATGTACAGTTTTATTAACAATTTGATGGGAGATGAATCATCTAGCATGAATTTTCTGGCTCTAAAAATGGGAAATCTTGAGTCATGGCTCAGAAAGCAGGGATCTTCCACAACAGAAGTTAGATGAAATCCAAGGATGAGGTGCAGTCTTGTAGATAGTGAATATATCCAAAGGTCTTTGGTGATGGTGCAGAAAGTGGGTGAATATCAATAGATCTTTGGCAATGCACCAGCATCAGAATTTATGCCCTCAGAAGATCTTGCCAACACATTTGGATTGAATTATTGCATTTTAGAAATTACTTTGAAACTATTGTAATGATTGCTAATCTGAAATACTGAAAGTGCACACAGTAAGGTTGCCTGTATGTTGGATGGATCAGGATGCAGTGAAGTTTGTCTGGAGTTCAGTTGCAGTGCGCAAGTGTTGCAGTGCGTGGAGAGTAAGGGATGCACCATCAAAGTTGCTTGCAGCATTTTCTTACTGAGAATTACCCTGCGAGTCATCTTGATAATGGCTGGCAACGTTTTGGGCTAAAACTTCATATGGTATCTTAGTGACACTGCTTAAAAACTCTGCACCCTGGTTCTTTGGCAACAAATCAGCAGCTGTTTTGTTGCACATAGATTTTGATACTGATCCCAGCCTGTAATCGGCATAAAAATCTACATCTTTACAAGCTACCGGTACCACCTGAAGCAGGATAACAATATTTTAATTTTTAAAATAATTTCTAGGAATGAAGAAAAATTATAGGTACCGGTATATAAAGTAATCATCTTCTGATCTGAATTAAATTATATTTTTACCAAAATATTATAATATTGATATTATATTGAATTTATATTTTTATATTAAATTTCGTTCCGAAATTGCTGGTAAAAATATTCTGCGTTTCTCATTTTCCCTGGGATGATATTAGGCTAGGGCAGTCAGTACTGGTAAGTCATGAATGGGCAGTAAAATACAATACTAAATGGGCAGTTCTAAAGCCATGTATTTTGGTTTGATAAAAAATTATGATCTCACAAATGTGTCCTTCTAATAAAATTTCATATGTTGCAGTTTAGTTCTACTGTCTTGCCCAGATTTCTTGCAAGCAAAATGCTTTCATTATTTTTTTTTTAGTTTAAGTCATGTGACACAGCTTGCTAATACAAACAGAATTGAAACTATGGCAGATCTCTTAAGTAAATTTTTATTATAATTCATTCTTTGTTCTTTTAAAGTACTAAGTAAATATCTTTCCAACTTGAAGCACAAGGCTTTTGTTACTATATATATTTACTGTAATATTGGAGGTTGGATGTCCATCTTGTTATGGTTTGAACATTAACTCCTGCAGTTCAGAAAATGTGTTAGCTCCAGAAGTGTTATAATTCCACTTTTTGTATTAATAAATAAATGTACCTGAATGCCATTTTCTCTCAAATAATTGATATTTCTTTTTTCAGAAAATTTCTGGTGTGGCTGTGCGTGTGTGTGTTCACAGCACTCCTTTCATTGCGGCTGGACAAGCTACTTGACTGGACGTACTGGGCTGTGTTTGCTCCCTTGTGGCTATGGAAAGCTTTTGTTGTTGCTGGTGCTCTTGTTGCCAACATCGTGTGGATAAAAAATCCTCATTACAGGTGAGGCATTAGCAAAATGTTGCGACATATAAAATATATTACTATATAAGATACGTATAGGTACTATGTAGTACCTTACTATGTACCATACCTATACTATGTAGGTACAATATATTTTATGTAATATACAACATCTAAAAAGTAGTTCAGAATCACAGCAAGAATGTAATTGAATGAAAATTTCATGTAACTTGAAATACCATAGTATTTATTTATGTAAGCTTGTTGGTATATAGCTCGAGGTAATATGAGTTTGAAAGTCTAACGATTTTGATTCATAAATGCTGATGGGTTGAAATTTATTCAAATTTTTGTCCCAATTGACAAGCTCTCATTTATATGGCAAATAAAAATTTTTCTTCCCCAAGATTTTCATTTGAAGCTGCACTTAATAGAATTTTAGTTATAATATTAACTTGAGGAAATTGTCACAGCTTGGCTAAGTTTGTTACCTCATTCAACAGTTCATTCATCTTAATGTGTTGGCATGAAATTTGAACTCAATGTTTGTGAGTACATTGTTGATCATTTTTTGGAGCTACGGTAGGTATAATTCCATATGGTATATTTTTACTTGCTTCATTGGAAATAGATAATTAGTATCATCTAGTCCTACTTTATTTGTCATTGCATTAGGTTAGTTTTCAAATAATCTTTTGATTTTATTTTTGTGCAGGCTGGAAGGGCAGTCTGCCATCCAATACCGAGCACTGCTCATCTCGCTGGGAATTCATCTCTTTATTCTTCTATTTGAGTTGCTATTAGCAGATAATCTTGAAACGGGAAGACATTCTTGGCTTAGCGTCTTTTCTCCGCTGATTGTGATTAGCTTAGTTTCCATTGCAGCTTGCATTTGGGGTGTGAAGCATAATCGTTCCATAGAACTGGAACTGTATTGCTCTGTGAACCTTCTTCAGTTTATTTTTGTGGCTCTCAAGCTGGATGGCTACATTGCTTGGCCTTGGGAGGTAAGCTTCACAATATTTTACACTATCTTGTACAAGTATATACGGCATACTGGGAATTGGTAAAATGAAGGAAACGCCAGACATTCTGATATCGTAATTTTTGAACATGTTATAAACAATGAAAATGTGACATATTTTTGTTTCATCATTTATTAGACATGGCAGGTAGTACTAGTGTGACAGAAACTTTCCGAATACTTGACGTTCGTTTCTAGAAGTACTGTCTCATAAGTAATGACTGCTTTTGAAAGATAGGAAAAACGTCCTCAGCAAAGCACAGATCTGGCCGAAAGTTGAAGTTGTCTGAGAGAGACCGTCGAGTAGGTCTCTAATTCGAATTGTGAGGGACAATCATATGACCACGGCTGTTTAAATTACAGTTGATGTCAATAAACACCTATACAGAACCTAGTTTCCATTAAGACTGTCCGCCGAGAGCGGCATAGATCAGGATTCTATGGATGAGCAGCAATGATATAATGGCTGTAGGAGGTGTGGGTGCCAGATCACATTAGCTGCATTATATACACGCAGGTGGTGCTGGTGCCAGTCCTTAGCTGCATTATATACACGCAGGTGGTGCTGGTGCCAGACCTTAGCTGCATTTGATACACACAGGTGGTGGTGGTGCCAGACCTTAGCTGCATTATATACACGCAGGTGGTGGTGGTGCCAGTCCTTAGCTGCATTATATACACGCAGGTGGTGCTGGTGCCAGACCTTAGCTGCATTATGTATATAAACAGGTGGTGGTGGTGCCAGGCCTTAGCTGCATTTATATACACGCAGGTGGTGGTGGTGCCGGGCCTTAGCTGCATTTGATACACGCAGGTGGTGCTGGTGCCAGACCTTAGCTGCATTTGGTGGTGCTGGTGCCAGACCTTAGCTGCATTATGTATATAAACAGGTGGTGCTGGTGCCAGGCCTTAGCTGCATTATATACACGCAGGTGGTGCTGGTGCCGGACCTTAGCTGCATTTGATACACGCAGGTGGTGCTGGTGCCAGACCTTAGCTGCATTTGATACACGCAGGTGGTGCTGGTGCCAGGCCTTAGCTGCATTATATACACGCAGGTGGTGCTGGTGCCGGACCTTAGCTGCATTTGATACACGCAGGTGGTGCTGGTGCCAGGCCTTAGCTGCATTTGATACACGCAGGTGGTGCTGGTGCCAGACCTTAGCTGCATTTGATACACGCAGGTGGTGCTGGTGCCAGGCCTTAGCTGCATTATATACACGCAGGTGGTGCTGGTGCCGGCATGGGTGGTGGTGTGTGCCAGCATCGTGGCGGTGCTGTACAGCATCGTGTTCGCAGGGCTGCTGCTCAGGCTGCCTGAGGTCAACGCGGACCGCAGGAGAACTTCTCTCAACAGCGCCATCGCTTACACGTGTCTCGTGGCACCCCTACTATGTTTCTTGGTGAATATCTTACATTTTAAATGTAATTTGCTGGCACAAATATCGATTTCCCTATGAAAATTCTGTCCTGACAATGCCTCTTAGTTTTCTTGTGAATATCTCTAGCTGTCGAAAATTCCCTCTGTTTCCCTCAGTTTCCCTGTGAATATTTTCTCTCCTTCACTGCGAATATTTTTTGCTGGCACTGCCTTTTTTGTTTCCTTGTGAATATACCTTGCTGGCACAGCTAATACCGGTAACTAACTTTCCTTGTCAATAGATACTGTCTTATTTAATTGTAGATAATTCTATGCTGGCGCTGCCATCTGCATTTTCTTATTCATGATTTCGAATAAAATGCCTTTTAACCGGACATACCGTTAGTGGAATTGTTGTCAAATTCCCCGAAATTTCACGATTATCATTTTTTTCAGATCACCCTGGCGAGTAAACTGAACGGGGAGAGTCGCAATTCTTACACGAGTATCGTGATGCCGCTCTACATCACCTACTGCACGCGCCTGGCCATGGCTTTCTCCAGTAAACGAGCTAACCAATGTGAGATAAATTATAGTAGCTTTATAGTGTGCTTCATTTTTAGTGTACAAGAACTGATGAATTTATGTAGCTAAATTTGAGTAGCTTTATAGAACTTGTCCTTCATTTTTGGTGTACAAGAACTGATGAATTTGTGTAGCTAGATAAATATTAGTAGCTTCATAGAACTTGTGCTTCATTTTTGGTGTACGAGAACTGATAAATTTTAGTAGCTAAATAAATTATAGTAGCTTCATAGAACTTGTGCTTCATTTTTGGTGTACAAGAACTGATGAATTTTAGTAGCTAGATAAATTATAGTAGCATAGAACTTGTGCTTCATTTTTTGCGTACAAGAACTGATAAATTTATGTAGCTAAATTTGAGTAGCTTTATAGAACTTGTGCTTCATTTTTGGTGTACAAGAAATGATAAATTTTAGTAGCTAGATAAATGTTAGTAGCTTCATAGAACATGTGCTTCATTTTTGGTGTACAAGAACTGATGAATTTTAGTAGCTAGATAAATTATAGTAGCATAGAACTTGTGCTTCATTTTTTGCGTACAAGAACTGATAAATTTATGTAGCTAAATTTGAGTAGCTTTATAGAACTTGTGCTTCATTTTTGGTGTACAAGAAATGATAAATTTTAGTAGCTAGATAAATGTTAGTAGCTTCATAGAACATGTGCTTCATTTTTGGTGTACAAGAACTGATGAATTTTAGTAGCTAGATAAATTATAGTAGCATAGAACTTGTGCTTCATTTTTTGCGTACAAGAACTGATAAATTTATGTAGCTAAATTTGAGTAGCTTTATAGAACTTGTGCTTCATTTTTGGTGTACAAGAAATGATAAATTTTAGTAGCTAGATAAATGTTAGTAGCTTCATAGAACATGTGCTTCATTTTTGGTGTACAAGAACTGATAAATTTATGAAGCTAAATTTGAGTAGCTTTAAAGAACTTGTGCTTCATTTTTGGTGTACAAGAACTGATAAATTTGTGTAGCTAAGTTTGAGTAGCTTCATAGAACTTGTGCTTCATTTTTGGTGTACAAGAACGGATAAATTTTAGTAGCTAGATAAATTATAGTAGCTTCATAGAACTTGTGCTTCATTTTTGGTGTACAAGAACTGATAAATTTTAGTAGCTAGATAAATTATAGTAGCTTCGTAGAACTTGTGCTTCATTTTTGGTGTACAAGAGCTGATAAATTTTAGTAGCTAGATAAATGTTTGTAGCTTCATAGAACTTGCTCTATCATTTTTAGTGTACAAGAATTGATAAATTTATTTCTGATGATCGAAAGATGGGGGTTCTTGTGGGATTTAAAATCACTTAACTTTGAATATCTGTAGAAATTTATGCAATTGTGCTTCATAAATCAGTAACATTAGATTCGGATCCTTGTATCAGCTTATCCGATATTTACGGTGAATAAATATTTGGATGAGAACGGTGTAGAGATCTTGCGAAGACTAATAATAAAAGTACCTATTTGCATTGATTTACAAGCATTTTTGGCAGGGTGGTTTGGAATACATACGCAAAGACATGTGCGTTTTCTATGCGTCTAAATAATTGATGACCTTGTGAAGACTCGTAATAGAAGTACCTATTTGCATTTATTTATAATCAATTTTGACAAAGTGGTTTGGACTGAGCAAAGACATGTGCGTTTTCTATGCTCTTGAATAATTTATGACCTTGTGAAGACCAATAAAAGTATCTATTTGCATAGATTTACAAGCAATTTTGACAGGGTGGTTTGAACTGCGTAAAAACATGTGCGTTTTCTATGCTCTTAAATAATTTATGACCTTGTGAAGACTAATAAAAGTACCTATTTGCATTGATTTATAAACAATTTTGACAGGGTGGTTTGGACTGCGCAGAAACATGTGCGTTTTCAATGCGTCTAAATAATTTATGACCTTGTGAAGACTAATAATAAAAGTATCTATTTGCATTGACTTATAATTAATTTTGACAGGGTGGTTTGGACTGCGTAAGGACATGTGCGTTTTCTATGCTCTTAAATAATGTGGAGACTAATAATAAAAGTGCATATTTGCATTGACTTATAAACATTTTTGGCAGGTTGGTTTAGACTACGCAAAGACATGTGCGTTTTCTATGCTCTTAAATAATTTATGACCTTTTGAAGACTAATAATAGAAGTACCTATTTGCATTGATTAACCTATAAACATTTTTGGCAGGGTGGTTTGGACTGCGTAAGGACATGTGCGTTTTCTATGCTCTTAAATAATTTATGACCTTGTGAAGACTAATAAAAGTACCTATTTGCATTGGTTTATAATCAATTTTGACAGGGTGGTTTGGACTGCGCAAAGACATGTGCGTTTTCTATGCTCTTAAATATTTGATGACCTTGTGAAGACTCATAATAAAAGTACCCATTTGCATTGATTTATAAACATTTTTGGCAGGGTGGTTTGGGCTGCGTAAGGACATGTGCCAGTTCCTACTGGGCGTGTGTCCACTACTGCAGGAGTATGCCAACATATCCTACGCTCTGCCTGTGCCACAGGACGACGAGCAGCAACAAGCTCTCGAAGAGCCCAATCCTGCAGCTGAAACACCAAATGTCAGTCCTAGGTTTAGCCTGCCATCATATTGCATTGGAACAAACTTCATAATTTCTAATAATAGTTTTCTTGCAGCAGAAACACCAAATATGAGTCCTAGGTTCAGCCTTCCATCATATTTTATTGGAACAAACTTCATTATTTCTAATAATAGTTTTCTTGCAGCAGAAACACCAAATGTGAGTCCTAGGTTTAGCCTTCCATCATATTGCATTGGAACAAACTTCATTATTTCTAATAATAGTTTCGCAATGAGCTTATTTTTCTCAATTTTGTGTAGTAANTTGGAATAAACTTCATTATTTCTAATAATGGTAGTTTTCCTGCAGCAGAAACACCAAATGATAAACCTAGGTTTAGCCTTCCATCATATTTTATTGGAAATAACTTCGTTATTTCTTATAATGTATGTGCAATAAGCTTATTTGTCTCAATTTTGTGTAGAAAAAGATAGGTATATTAGAGCCCAAACCTCAGAATAAGCATCTAATATCATCTCAGTGTCCAGCATTGTTTCCTGTTTTACAGGAACAGCCTTGATTATTTGTTACCATATATGTGAAATAATGATAGTCCGAATTATGTGTAGATAAAATTACTTAAGTATCTGACAACGAATGTCTGTTAAGTGTCCAGCCTTCCATCATATCTTATAGAAACATCCATGATTATTTCTTATGATAATTGTGAAATAATAATGTTATTTGCCACAATATTGTGAAGAATATGTTAATCAATTTTAAAGTTTAAAATAGTGGTCAATTTTTTATTCAAATTATCAATAATTGGACTTGCTTGATTAGCTTTGCAATCACTCTTGCCACGGCAGAGATAGTTAGTCAGTAAAAAAATTTGTTGTATCCTGGAAAATCATATTTGGTCCTTTTTGAATTCGATTAAATTGATTAGACTGTCTTTCTTCTTCTGAGGTACGTTTCATTTTACAACACAAAATTTTCTGTGGTTAAAAACTTAAGAATCACTCAAGTCATAATTACTTGTACATTATAATTGTCTCTCATCTAATTATACACGCCTTAGAAAACTTGAGTATTTTTTTTGAGACTCAATTGGAGAAAATTTTTCATGGGGATACTCCATCAGCAAACTTGTAAACGTTTTTTGTGCGCTAAAATTCATGCGCAACTATGCACATAATTTAGTTAATTTAGTTGTAGTTGAGCAAGTAGAAAATTTATTAGTTAACTACTAAATTATCGTTTGAAATGACCGAAGTGTTCAATTTCTCCCTCACAGCTGCGTTCGAATAGTGAAATATTTTCCTCTAGCCGATTAAAACTAAAAAGAATAGGTTTGATTTTAGGGTTTTTCCTATCTATGACTGAAGGTGTAACGTATAGGTTGTTCACTGATCGATGTACTGATCGTACAATGATAATCAATTGCTAATAAAGTACATAACCGTAGTTGCAACTCGAGGTTATTTGCAGATAAAATGATGCTGATAACCAATTGCATATTTATCTTTTACATTGAACAAGAGTTGTTTTTGCAGGCCAGCGCTCTAACTCGCGCCGATACCGACAGCCGAGGCAGCAAGAAGAAGAAGAAGCAGCTGGGGCACGGTCGGGCTAAGGATAAGGAAGTCGTTCCTCATATTAGTCTCGAAGTTCCTGATTGAATCTCTTTACCGATCTACATTTTCGAATAAGTGCGAATGGCTTTTGTTAGCGAAGATATTGTTATAAATAACTTAATTACCTCATAAGCGTAACAGTGTCAAGCTTTAATTAACATGGACTGTGTTCAGCAATATATTTAATGTGACTTATCATAATCATGAAGTTTGTGTTGCTGGTAATAGAAAGCTAAAAAGAATTCAACTTCAATTGATGGTTACATCAATGCCTAATGTTATGTTTAAGCAGATGATATTTGAGGACGTACCTATATTATGGTTTCATGCTTTAAGCAACTTTTCCGTGAAATTGGGATTGTATATAATATTTCAACAGATATTACATGTAACCTCTCGTTGAAGCCAAGCTGGTCCATCTGCCATAATTGATTTCTCCGATGAGATATGAAATCAAATGTTGACGAGGGTTGTACTGAATATGTTGTAATAATATGTATGTATTTCTATACTTCCACATACTAGGCGTCAATGTAGAGAATGATACTTAGATTTATTTTTTACGGTACGAGGCAGAATGCAAGCCAACCAAAGGACAAATCACATCAGATGTGTTTCAGTCAGTTTACTATTCTCAACTATTTACCAGGTCATAAGCTATTGGTAGCCTTGCCGACGCGCTGAATCCTGAGTCAAAAGGTTCAAGCGGATACTCATCCCTGACAAACTCGCCCAAACTCGACTCCTTGACAAACCCTTGCCGCGTTAGGAGCGTGAATATCTTTCTCTGACGTGTCAGTATTAATAGCCAGCTCCGGTTATATTATTTATTCTTTGTCACGTAGCAGCAATTAGAAGGACTGACCGGACAAAGCTAAAGATACTACTCTGCACCCTGTTTACCTGCGTAAAGAGACCAAGGAATTCACTGGTGTCTACCGGCACGTTAATGAGCTGCCGTTTAGTTCGTTTCGTCGTTCGCGGCAGGGACGTCGAAAATGGATTTTCCTTTTGAATACCCAAGAGCCCGGAAGCCCGCTGATGCAACCTTGAACAAGTTTCCCGACTTTGCACCAATCTCTCGTTTTCATAGGTTTTCGAGGAGGCATTGTGGATTATTTACGGCCGAAATTACGCCATCATCACTGATCTCACCAATCGGTTGAACTTCTTCTGTAAAATTTTCTGCAAAACGATGAACTGCATTACTGCACCAACTGCTCATCATCATTCCGGAGCTCGTGCGAAGAATGCGGACAAGAGCGACGACGACTTCTCAGGAGGACCGAAGAGAGTTTTGGCTTCGAAGTATCTCCCCAGCTCGCTTCAGTATGAAATTCTTCAGTCTCACGCCTAGATACTTGGAATGCATTTGATTCAGGGCTACTTCAGGAGTCATCACGATAACGCTAGGTACTTCAAGTGTCTCCCTTGTGGTGCACACGGAAATATTGAGGCGATTATTCAACACGTCAAGAACGACAAACATACGGATAGATATATGAGATTCAACTACCATTCTGATGAAGAGTTTTCACTCCGGAAGTCCGGACTACTCCGAGGCTTGAGGCTTTCAAGCGAGACAGCGTGAGGGTTGAAGACATCATTACTATTACAGATAAATCGCTTTACCCGACACGATAGGAGGACGAGGTGCTATCCTTAACAAAACTGCGTCAGAAGGGAATCAGAGCTGGGTTTTATGATGGACGCAGTTCGCGGTCGCCCTCTCGAAGCCATCGTGGAAGTAGGGAGAGATCCGTGACAAAGTTAATTAAGAAGGAAGCTGTGCGTGAAGACAAGTCTTCGTTGATGTCGACTGTGAAGCATGAGGCGGATGTGGATGACGTGGATAAAAAAGTTGCTGCTTTCCTTAATTAAGAGCCTCAAAAACACGGCGGACGCCGTGAACCTGGAACGCCAACACTCCGACAGTCGTTTTGCGACTTTCGACGAGAGATCAGTCCGAGCAGGTGATCGGGCAAGATCGGATAGAAAAGGTGCTTACCCAGCTCAACTTTATCGTGCACACTACCACACTTCCTGGCAGCGCAGTGGAGACGCCAGAGGATACGAAGGCCTGCCTACGTTACAGGTTCAGCGTGGGTTCACTGCTCTACCAAGCTCGGGAGTGCGTGAGCCGAGAAGCCATCAGAGCCTGCGCAGCGTGAACTCAACTTACGGTTGAAAGATAACATCGCAAAGGCACAAGCCTGTGTCAAACACACCTACGATGAAGACTGGCAAACACGAAACGCCGGCCCTTGCCTTGGTGATCTCATTAACGTTTGGGTGAAGGTATACAGCGGCAGGTCTGTGAAGACTGAACACAAGCAACAAGCTGTCAAGAAGCTACCAAGCCTCTGTTATCGACTGGAAACTAAACAATGCTAAATTAGTGCGACGTAAGAGTGGGTGGGACAGGGAAAAAAGTTAGTCGGTGGAGCTAGAGAAGCCTCGCTGCAATGAAAGGAACTGCCGCCAGCAATGTGTACGAAATTGCAAGGTTTTGCCAGTAATCGAGCCTACTTTTACTTAATGACAAAATTGTTCTATTAGTTCTCGTTGATAAGTTTGTTGTTGATTTAAATAGACTTGCGTGTTGATCTAGATTCATCACACTAACGTGTAAATATGTAATTTTTGCTGTACAGTAACTTAACGCTCATGCTCTATGTCGTCCTTATGTGTTCCTCCGCAGTAACTATTTCACAAATGTGCGATCGTATTACAAATACGGTATGTGCTCAATAAACTGAGTACATTTGAAAGTGTATTTTCAACCTTATTTGTTAAAGGTCTAGTTGTAGTGGAAGCAGATCAATTGTTCAGTAATTATGGTATGACAGCTCGATTATTATGTAGGTAGGCCAGTTGTAGGGTTCACTTATTATGTTAGTAGGCCAGTTGTGTAGCGAAGTAATTAGGATTTGGCAGCTCTGACGTTATCAAGGCAGGTTGCGGGTTTAGTTGTAGTGTAAGCAGGCCAGTTGTATGGATTTAGTTATTGCGGGTGGTCGACATCTCGTATTAGTGATATTTTTTGTGATCGTTTATGTTGCTATTCACATGATCTTTTGTCGTTGTTACGAGATGCCAACTCTGCTTGTCTTTGCCGTTGGGCATTCGAGACTTTCATGTTGGATATGTGAGACCTTTCGTGACTTTATGCTGATTATTAGTACGTATGCGATTATTTGTTTCTATATCGATCTGCGATATCGAAGCGTGGCAAATTTCTTGATCATTCTATAAAAATAACTAATTTTTCCATGTTAACCAATTACCTTCGTAAATAAAAGAAATACGTTTCATGTTGAGGGCCTACAAAATTGTACTGCTCTTCGACTTTGTTATATTTAATCAATACTTATTGCGCCACCCAACAAGTATAACACGAGTATTGGCCAGCTTAACTGCGCATGCGTTATTTCGACAAAAATTTAATGATAAATAAATGCCTAAAAAATTGCGATATTTTTTCGCATGTTTAGTCGTCGAAGCGTTTCCAATGAAAATATGATTTATTTTCTGGTAATTTTTGTTGCCTTGAAATTATTAGTTGATTTTCTTTGCTTTGGAATCATTAGTTGAGTTGCGATTTCAACAATCAATAGATCTTAATAGCTTGTTTTTGAGTTCAAAAGAAGAATCTGCCCAGTGTAGTAATACTTATATTTAATCTGTTAGAGTGAATGTTCGTGTTTGTGAATGAAGGAATATTAATGGCGACTACTTATTTTCACGTCAGTGTTAAATTTCCTGGAGAATTTTCCTGCTCGTCAGAATAAGTTTTCAATGAATTGAAGAATTATTTATGAAATTTTACAGAAAGTGACTTGGTTACGTGGCATGAGTTGTGTGTGAGGGAGCTTGTTGTGTGTCAGTAAAAATTCATATGATTCTGGTCCACGTGGCTTTTTTTTTCTGGACCAAAATTTACTCGTATTACCATTTCTGTTTATTTATTGATCTTGTATAAATAATTATGTAAATACCGTTTTATTTGATTAAACTATGTACATTTAGTTTAGCCTTTCTCTTTCATCATGTTTATGAATTATTTTATGGTTTTCATACGTTTAATTCAGGATTAACATTATTATTTAAATTGATTATGTCATAAATGAAGTAGTCTTTACGGAAACGATTCTAATTAAAAATCTATGAGGAGTTCTATTTGATTTGAAATATATCTTCCACCTCTTAATATGGAGTCGCGAGTAATAAATATGAACAAAAAAATTTTTGCTGCAACAAACCTTCTACCTTCTTGCTTATGAACTGAGCACTGGAATTGGAGTGGTTTGTTCACGATTAATTTTCCACATTACCTTTGAGGAATCTGAACCTTTCAAAATTTTGAAGGTTCGATGCTGTTTTTTTTCCGCACGATCTGACCTGTTCATTTTGGGGCATCTATCAAAATTGAAATGGTATCCAAGCGTCGTCAACAATCAGCGATTTATGACGTAGCTCCCTCAATGAAATAAGTGTGAGACTTGGTCAATAGAGTGGTGCACTTTTTCCCATTGTGTGGGTCATCCTGACCCAGTTTTGCCCTGAAAAGTGAGTATCAATGGTACCTCCGCTCTCTGAACGCGCTCTGGGTAATAGAGTGCCATTATATTTTTTACAATATGAATTGTTAGTTTTTCACAATGCACAACCATATGCATCGCTTCCGTCGTTGAAATTTAATCCTACAACAATTTTTGTTTGGAGTCAGGAAATTCCTACATTAGTTGAAACGCTGCCTCGGAAACTTGCTATTCTTACTATTTCAAAGAAGGAATTAAAATGCATGCCAATTGTAATAATGACGTGGAATAGTTCATCATCTGCCAGCGTAGCTACATAATTAGGCGTCTTGCCATAAATGTTCATCAGCCGCAATCACAATGATCAAGGGAAACGCTGCATCCAGGCGTGAAGAGCGGCCCTGTTTTGCATTATCATCACAGAGGAAGCGCTATTTACCTAGCGCTAAAAATGCCTTGCGTTCAGCTAAGACGTAAAGCAATATCTGCAGCAGGCCGTTCCTTCTCCTAATTAAAACACACTCATCGTCGGTCGTCATTTCTGTAGATGCCCGTATCACGTAGCCGACGAAGCAAAGCCTCATCTTCATCATGCGACCGAATGTGATGATATCAAATGCACTGAAAGCTAGTGATTTTAATGGGCTTTTGGAGGAGAATATTGCACTGAACTGAGTTGCACTTGGCGCGTCTCGAAGGAATAAGCCTCGCTGCAGTTTGATGCGCTGGGGAATTTCAGCTCTCAAGACTTGTGGTTAATGCAGGTATCCTTTCTTCCATTTCTCAACTGATATGAATTGTAAATGAGACCAATTAGCTTCCATCCTTTAGGCTCCTTTTGTTGAGCGTCCGTCCTGGGCCACGATGTTATTGTTGTATCTTAAATAGTAGTCGAGAGCGAAAACCGAGCTCCGCTAATCAGCTACTTAGATTGTGGCACCAAACCTCACCCTCATCCTGTATCATTTTCTGCAATCGTTTAACCTTCAAACGTCTAATTTATGAAATTTTTGTCACCATTTATCCTCTTTTAGTTCAAATTCTTAGATTGTGGCACCTAACTTCCTCTTCCCACCTGTTATTTTCTGTAACCATTTAATCTTCAAACAATTTTTTTCAAATTTTTTACTCCATTTGTGATCTTATTTCAAATTAAATTCTGGTCACAATGTTTTCTTGCCATATGCGTATTGCTTATCTTCACATTAACGTTCATTTATATCCCAATCCTACTGTTTTTTTCTCATTAGTAATAGTCGATCGATTCAAAATTTGCGATTCATTTTAAAATATTAGTTATTTGCAGGCACGTGGAAAGTAAAAAAAAAATTCGTCCATACGACAACAGCTATTAAGATAACGCCATGACAAATAATGTCATAATCGATCGCCAATTGTTTTTTCTATTTCATGAAATTGACTGTTCGCACAAAGGCGACAATCAATAGGTAATTAGCTATTCTGGACGAAGGGCGAATTAGTATTCTTGCTACGAGCGATTCTGGCTGAATATTTATTTGTTCCCAGGCGTATCGGGATTTCAGTAATTCTTTCACGACAAAAAGTTTAAGAACTAAGTTTTATTTTGAAAAGTGGGTCCCTTCAGATTCATCTGACATGTAACAATGTATGGGAATCTGTTATTCGTAAATTTCAAAAATTTAAAATTTAGGAGCACTCAAGCAACTACTGACATGAATATGAATTAATATTATCACCGAAGTTTGTTAATTCAAATTAGAACTCTAACTAATATTATCGAAATTGTTCTCTATTAGTCTTTTCAACAATCTCCAAAGGTTCAGCTAGAATTTCACATAAAAGAATGTG